TTGGGCTGGGTGTGCTATGAATTTATACAGTGGTCACTAACTCGCTCTTTTCAAAATCTAAGTTTCCTTAAATTATAAAAGCTTTTTAGCATCATTAATCCAAAATCTGTTACCCAAATCGTAATAGTATAGTAAACATATGTGTATGATATTTTAGATTATATTATACTTTTTTTAATCAAAATACTAGTTACCTATAAGTATATGTGCCATTTAAACATTTTAAACATTTTTTAAAATTATATTTAATAAAACACAGCAATAATTATTTACAATTTGACACTGAATATCTATAACACAAAATCAAATCTTCTTTTTTCAAACTTAGCTTATCAATTACATTATCTGGTGTTATTATGAGGGATCAGTGGTATTTCAAAAAGGGCAACTAATTTAATCTGTTATTTTATTAAAATCATAAGAATGTATATTAAATCATAGTGATGGTTCATACCTCAATATAAAATATTTACTTCAGTCAGACTAGATAGGACTTAATCTTCTGGAATTAGTTTGCCCTTCAATAGCTCTCATTATTTAAGTGCATTTTCTAATACATTAAGATGTCTACATTTACATTATAATTACTTCAACATTTTCAACATGCATTTTTTCATTTGTTAGGAAGTACAAAGTACATAAAGATTATTTTCTGATTTACACTTGAGTGGTTATATTATGTATAAATTAACTAATTTCAGTTCCATATTTTAAGTAAATGTATGCAGCATATTATATTTTATACCGTATCATTTGGTAAAACAATCAAAACTCAACTTTTTTTTTCTTTGTTGAAGTATTGGATTTTCGATTAAATACGATTCACGGAAAAAACAATATATTGAACAATATACATATAAATATATGGGTAATACTCTCAATTTTATTTTTATTTTACATGATCAAAATTAAAGCATATAAATAATTATTAATGTATTTGAAAATTAGTATTTATTTGGTTTTAAATAAACATACTTTGATAAAGTATTAAAAATAATTTGTTGAAGTTCTTTCTTCAAAAGTATTTAAAATACCTAAGCCTTTGAGTACTTAAAAAACTAAAAAGTATTTGAATATTTTTACTCACAAGTACCTACTTTACATCTCTGCTGTGCTCCACGTACAAGACTCGCATGCATGCAATTTAAAAATTCTCCATTTGCAATCCCATTAATTTTTAACTATATTAGTATATTGCAATAAAATGGTTGCTGAGTCTAACTATCACGGTAAATTACAAAAATAATCGTGAAAAGTCTAAAACGAAATTGCTTAGCTTAACGTCTAAAAATTTTAGTATTAAAAAAAACTAAAAAAGGTTTTTATATAATTTATTATTGAACTTAAAAGTAGAAAATAAATTCTGATGTCTTTTTACCTGGCATAGTTAGTACGATGGTACTTTCACTGTTGAAGTGGCTCAAATAAAAACCGGGCGGACGTTATATATACTAACTTGTAAGTGTAACTATTGTAATTTGTGAGCTTAAGATCATTGAGCAAGTAAAGACCGTCCGGTTTTTATTTGAGCACACTTCAACAGAGAATGTTCCATCCATACCCATTATACCAGGTGATACGACATTATAATTTAATAGTAAATTTAGCGTCAGGCAAAGTAGACAATTTTAGAACAATATTTTTTTGAGAAAACTAGGTTTTTTACATTTTGTAATGCAGAGTTTGAGATTACTCTGAAGGATGGCAAATAAAAATGTTAAATATTTAAGCATGACACAATTCTGTTAATATAATTAACATTTCTTCTTTATAATACCTAACAATATTATACGTTCAAGTCCATTATCAACCGACTGCCGGGAAACCAATAAAAATAATTAACACGTTGAGTGCCAAGTAGTATTTGGCGCCCGTTGTCTGAGAATCCGTGCGAAATCGGTCCCGAAATTACGTCGGTCGACTTAAAAAAAATAGCGTTCACGTCGACCCTCAGAGCAATACCTAGTACCTACCTACTTTCGTTTTTTCCACATACATATCCATTATTATTATTTAGTATTTGAATTACGATTTACGAATATAATATATTATTATATTTTGTGGAATATTATTAAATTAAAATACAGGTAAACGAAATAATAATATAATGAATAATTATGAATTAAATCCCTTGAATTATTTTCGTGGGCGGTGGTAAACTCTCCCGATTGTATGGTAAACTCTCCCGATTTTTAAAACTAGTAAACTCTCCCGATGGTAAACTCTCCCGGGTAAATATTATGTTTACCTGAAAGAATTGTGTAAACTCTCCCGGGTCAAAATTATGTTTACCTGAAAGAAATGTGTAAACTCTCCCAAGTAATTTTAAATGTTATTGCTACCCTATGAATTGACTTCATTGCACAGATTGTGATTATAATTTTTGTTATGAATTGTATTACCATATTTAATCTGTATTTATCTTGTGTTAAGTGATAACAACGTATTATGATAACATGCGACGGACTGAATTATTTTAGTGTTACAAACTGCAGTGTAAAACGAATGTTACCCCATGCTCCCCTAGCTTAGTAATACTGAAGTAGACCCGGGAGAGTTTACATGTTCCGTCAGGTAGTATTAGACTAAACCCGGGAGAGTTTACCATCGGGAGAGTTTACATGTCATTAAAATCGGGAGAGTTAACAATCGCCCATTTTCGTTTCTATATCATAATATATATTTATATCATCAGAAAAATAAAACAAGTTTGGCTATAACCTATACGAATATCATTTATATCTATAATTATTCAACTGTAAATTACAAGAATAATAAATATATAATATTCTAAAATTGTGGAGGTCGCCTTCATTGACGATTTCTTTGAAAAAAATAACCATTAATCATTACTTAATAAACGAAAATAAAATCCAAATACATCGTTGAAAAGGAGACATCTCACTGAATAACCACGTATAAAAACAGTAGAATTGCTTTGGTAACCGAGTAAATTATAAGGCTATAAAGATGGTTATACAAATGTCAAATTGTCGACTACCCGTCGATAGCGGTACTCAAAAGTGTTAATAATCACTTCGACCTCATGGCGTACACACACAATACATACATTTATGATATTATATTTATATATTTAATACGAATGCGGGCGACGATCGGTTCGTATGAGAAGGATGATCTAATTATAAACCAGTCACTGTCAATGATATGTGACTACGACTATGCACAATACGCACAACGAGTACAAAAATAAAAAATTTCCATCCGATCCGAAAGATAAAATTGAAATAATTGTTTATTTTTCTTCGTGACTATGAAATAGGGCTAATAGAGGGCGGCCAAGTAAAGAATATAGGTACCTATAGTCTATACCCATGTTATTTACATACGTTTATTCTGATTAGACATTCGATTATCGATTGTTTTCAACGCAACATTCGAGGCGGATAGTCGGATAGAGGAAAGGAAGAAAGAGAAAGAAAGGCTAGGAATCAAACAATAAAACTGAATACATTTTTATTCATTAAAAATATTGACGACGCAAACCGTCGAACGTGAATTCGAGTAGTACTGTATTAGATCAAAGCAATGACGCAGTACCTACTGATACTGTGGAAATAATAAATTAGGTTATAAGTTCTTCTGCATCTGAATCTCCTAATTTAACGACAGAAGAAATTAATATTATTTTTTCTCGTTAGCTATGATGTATGGTACAACAATTATAAGGTACTCGTTTTTTAGTTTGATTATTTGTTGTGTATTTTATATTATAATTTAAATTTGATCGAAAACATTGGTTTGCTTAAGGAACTTAATTATACAATAATTATATTTAATTGTCAGAGAAAATGTATTCGAAAAAATGTTAATGGGTTATACTTCAATAAATATTATATTGGTATACTATTTTCTTGATTAGAACAGTTTATGAACATAACCAGTAGTTATTGTTTAGTATTATTGTTTAGGTACAAAGGTTTCTGTACAAATAGCATATCATAACAGTATCTAACCGGATGAGTATACATTCTTAGGTGTCGGGTGTACATTATTCATTAAAATTAAACAGTCGCAGCGTACAGTGAGGAATCACGAACGAAATTAATACAATTCCAAACAACAAAATATTTTTGGGCAATGCCACAATAGCCGACGATTACGATAGTGATTTGTTTATCTGCGGTTTGTTTAAAATGTATAAATAATTACTATTTTAATAATACTACAACAGGTAGATACTATATTGTTATTATCGCACATCGACGGCATGTCGTGGATAGTGCTATACTATTCGCATCGCTCTATCTCAGCATTTTTTTTTTTTTTACTTCACAACAATGTGTTATGTTTAGGAGCAGAGTCTGTAGCAACGCACACTAAGGCGCAATTCAAATACAAAACAAAAACAATATAATTGTCAATCGAACAAATGTAGAATATATTTTTCTCGTCGTCGGTGGAAATAGAAGAATCGCTGATTTCCCGCTTTCGGCGACGGCCGAATCATGAATCAATGTTACTACATCTATAATTAACTAATTCGTTACTATGTACGGTACTACGGTCGTGCGTGTACTGCGCCGCGCAGGGTGTAGAGAAGACATTATTATTCATGTCCTCATGTCCTCCTCACAACGGTGCCGTGCACGTTACTTCGGCGCGGCCAAACCGGCGGTTTTTGGTTGGTAGTGTTGGTACTCGGCGCATTCGATACAACTTACTCGGTGCGGACTGGTAGTCGGTCAGTCAGCTACATGTGGTTTCCATAGTCATCGCAGCACTGCGCATGCGTCGTGTCGAACAGTGTTGCATGCTGTGCGCGCCGCTCGTCATCTTGTCCAGTGACGACAACAAATACTTATAATCGTTACATTCGTTAGTCGTTACTCGTTACGTTTCGCCATTCGGTATTCACATTTCACGGACGGGTGACGTCAGACCGCCGAGGACGGACCACGGTGACGGATTTGACGTTTCCGCATCCACACAGCCGCAGACCGCCGAAACTGCCGTACAAAGGTGAGAAACGTGACAGCGTGTTGTTTTTAATATAAAATATACTGATGAGAGGAAGAGTGATAGACACACGACAGTAGAGCGCGTTCAAATTGCGTACAGTTAGAAATGCCACTTTCACGTTGTTGTTGATTAAACTTTGATTAAACACAACTATTGTAGTTCAACTTATTCGTACGTATTTTGTCTTATTGTTTTTTTTTTTTGTCCGTCAAACGAGTTAATTTTAATGGCTATTTAATTTGTAGCCATAGAGGTGCGTATTTTGTGTAGGCCTGTGTCACTTGTTGGTATTCGCGGCGGACGTCCGTGGCGGGATTTCCACAATGTCGAAACATGTCTCGAGATTTTTGTGACGCACTACATTTCCGCTCTGGTATGTGCACATGTATTTAAAAACAACCGTGTTTTGATGTCTGCGGAATCCACTGGTCTATTTTCCGCTGCGGATACTCATTCCACAAGTGCGACACCCGTTGTTGGTGTCTGAACGAGACCTAGGTAATGAGTATTATTTAAATTAGGTAATCGTTATTATCGAATATGTCAAAATCAGTAATATTTCAATATTGTAATAATTTATATTGTCCAATTATTCAAGTTTTATGTGCCATGAAGGTTATAGGTAGGAAAAAAATATTAAATTAAGACAACATGAAAAAAACAAAATTAAAATTAATTTAAGAAAAAAATCCCCATATGTTACACATTTTTAAATTTCACATTTAATTTTTGTGAATTCTGACATTTCGTTAGTCCTGCGTTTATTTTGAAAATAGCACACATTTATTATTGCAATAATTTTACAAATATTGTGTTATACATTTTAATAAAAGATAAATCATTTAATTTAATTAATGAACTAAATCACATACATTTATGTTTTTTAAAAAATGTAACAAATAGATAGATTATAAATACAAATATGAATTGGGATATAAATCTATGCAAATTAAGAATTAATTGGTAATTACTTGAACACATTTTTTTAACAATTTAGGTATAAAATAGAAATTGAATTATGTACTTAAAATATTATTTAAAAAAATACTACATAATTGTTGTGTAGTGAGTTATATTGATATAATAATAAATAACATTAAAAAACTAACTCATTTCGTATTTTGAAAAATCTTCTCCTTCAATTTTGAGTAAAAATGCACTTCTTTTACTGTTTCTAGTAGGCTTTGATATGCTTTGGCTTATGTAAGATTTTTTCTCTATTTAATTTGTTGGTATATTGTCAACTTCTTGATTTTAAGCGTAATAAAATATATTTTGTATGTTTCTTTTTAAAAATGACATATTAATATCGACATCTAAACCTTCTACACTCCAACAAAAAATTTAAAAAATGTTTTCCCGGGGTTTTTCCTTTTTATTTGACCAATATAAAATCTCCAATATGAACTGAACAACTTAAATTTTCACTACCTATTTAAAGTATTATAACTGACTAAAATTTCAGGAGTTATTGTAGAAGACATCATTTTAGTTAAATTAACATCTTGCAACATTTCTTGCAAATTTGTACTTACCTGAGTTTTTGTTATTGTTTTAGTTTTAATGGTTTTTGGTTAGATGCTGTTAAAGGTAAACTTAGTAACAAATTTTCAGTTTCTTAATTACTATCAATTTTTTTTGTTGTGATAAAACGTGTAAGACATTACTGATTTGCTGAGTTTTGTTATTAAAAAGCCAACATAAACTTGATTTTTTAACTATTATTTTACTATCTTCATTTAAAGTCACATCCATCACTATTTTCTTTATTTTCTTCACTATTTTGCTTGTTGGACAAATACTCAGGTTGCGTCGCGGAGTTTTCAGCAAATATTATTCCTGTGGATATAAAACAGTTGATTAAAAATAGAATAATTTCTTATTTTACCAATTATATTGGTATAACACTTGCAAATCTTTTGCATTTTTTAAACTTGTATCAATGATACTTTCAATATATTCATCGCGTAGTTCTTCCAATTCTACTTTAATTGAAGGAGTAGATTTGTGGATGAAATTTTGACTATGGTTTTGTTGACGTAGAGATATGAATTTATCTGGTTTTGATAAACTTTTTCTTTTATTTTATTCTTTATTAAATTGTCATCATCAAGGTCAGCTCCAAGACCATTTTGTATATAGTTCAATAATTCAATTCTAGTTAATCTTTTAAGCAAATCATTCATGCTAAAATTATCAACAGTATTGTATGTAGAAGTTATAGATCTAGTGGTTCTGGATAATTCTTTGCGTGGTTGGCTGCTGAAATTCCACGGCATAAACATGGCAGCCCTCAATATATAATTATTATTCCAAAATTTTTCTCTACCAGTATAATTAAAAATTTATCATTTAATTCAATACACGTGTATACATTACTTGAAATAAAATTATTTCTTAATGTAAATGCCTTATTTTTCAGAATAAAATATCTCCACATGCGTAAAAAATATACACCGCGTCACATGTGGTACATTCTATCTTTGAATGAAATAGTCTTATCCAAAAATGGAGACAGCTTCATTCATTGTTTTAGGAAATGAAATTGCTGCTTCACTTCCTTCAATATTGTTCAATATTTCTATGACCTTATGTGAGCACATTTTTTCAGCAGACATAAAATTAATTTTATCTACAGGATTGAAGCTTTTGTTAGTTAGTTGGTGTTTATCTTTGGAAAATGTATCTGCCATTGACTTAAAATGACTAATAGGTACCATATAATCCACCCATTGGAAGAAGTATGCCAGGCTCCAAAATTCTAGTTCGGAGTTAAGAAGTAATATGAACGACATCTTGAACATAAGGCTGGACTACTAGGCATAGAGTTCTTGATTTTCATTGCTTTCAGTAATCTTGTATCACCCTCTGAAGAAAATCCTAAAATTTTTATTCCCTCCACATTTGCAGCCTTTTCTGTCACTTTACAATAACATTACTATATCTGAATCTATTATCTGTACCATAAATGCATAAACAAAAAAAAGGAGCTTTGTCTACTAAAAGTTTAGCGATTACAACGTAGGCATAATCAGCTTTTGTGTGGTTTTCAAAATATTGTGCAATTGTTTTAGCTGATGTGGCCAAAAATGTATCAACAACTGCTCTTCTATCTTTGAATGCCAACATAAAACCAATTTATTTATTGCTTATCATATCATATTCAATTTTGCTTCTTATACGAGTCTCATGTTCACTAACCCAAACACACATACGTAATATATATATCTATATAATGTAATAATTTAAATGTGTACCAATTACAAAATTGTCCATATAGAATCCTTATTCTCCAGATTTGGAAGGGCCACTTTTCTTGACATATTATCACTCGCAGACCTATGTTTGAATAGTCATGATTTCACATAATCTGTTGGATTCAACTGAGAGAGCGGTGGTCCATTAACATTTATAAACATGAGGTTAGAAATGTTCTGTATTGTTAACCTAGATTGGAGATTAAAACATATTAAATTCATAAAGCCACTCACACTCAGCAGTAGATACTGGTAAAGTTTTTTTAAGCACATCTTATTAATCTTTTCATTCTTTATTTATCACAATGGGGTTGTCATCAATAAATTGTCTCATACCCTGAATAGCAGTAATTGTATTAATCGAAAATCGCTGAGTCAAATATTTTACTTTTTCTGCTTCAAATCTCATACTTGACTTATACTTGGCCCAACATATTTGATATGTTTCGGCCAAAATCGTTTTTTATGATTTTTGAGTGATCTTAGAGTACACAAGAGGAGTAGGTAGGGCACTGCAGGTAGTAGGTAGGACTGTAGGAGTGGCGCTGTTGCATAGGGAGTATTCATTTGAAAAAATTATTTTCTGTGAGATCGTATTAATTATGTTAGTGTGGCTCTGAGAGAAAACTAATAATAATGCGCTGATATCCTCTTAAAACAATTATGGCCGCATAGACCAGGTCTTTGTATGGCCACTTAATAAGAAATCTCCTTATAACTGGATTCACAGATTCTCGAAGTAAAATTACTGATTAAAACCACAGCTAATTTGTAACTTTTTTCTATTAAATTTCATAATTTTACCTTTAGTCATAACTGACCATACAAAAATCATTAATGAGATTATTAGATAGCTTTTAGCTAAAATAAAAGAGATTTTAGTGAAGCAATAAATTAATTTAAAATACTTATAAACCTGATAAAGTTTAAATTTGTAGCATTGTAAGAAAATATACTTGTGTTTCTTATTCTAAGATAAGCACGTATCATTACTATTATGCATTTATAAACTGTGATTTGTTATGTCATGAACAATTTTAATATAAAAACAACTCACAAATAAGTTATCATTGATTTACCTTGTATTATAAATTTGTATTAATATATTAAGAATAAATGTCAATCTAAATAATAGTTTAAGATTATTTGGGACTTTTTTTGTAATACCATAGTCTTATGGCTTATATTAATTAAATCGTTTATGCATTCGTATTTTTGGTTTTCAGATGGACGGCTTGGATGAATTCGTTAACGGTCGTCAAAACGAGGAAAAAGAAAATGTTAACCAATATTGGAACAAAAATAACCAGGTGAAAAATTTGTAAATTGATTTTCAAGGGATTTTTTCACACAAGTCACCCGCTAGGTCTACACAGAAATTATACTTACCGAATTCTATACTGCAGTGTATTTTTAAGTACTATTAAAACAAATTTACAGATGTATTAATGTATTTTTAGGTTTTGCAATATAGAGAATATAAACTAGGCCCAAACAATTTTAGTTTTTGAGCGGTGCGATGAATATTTTGATTTTACAATGACGTGTTTTTGTTTCATTTTTGTCTGTATACAGATAAGTAGTCGAAATAACTTGTCTATTTCAACTTCAGTATCTTTTCTGCTGGGAAACTGATCTAGTTGGTACTTTAAAAATTCTCTGTAATTTCTATTAGCCTTGTGAAAAACTAAGGAAACTGAAGATTTTTACACAAAAAAAGTTTTGATCATGTCATAATTTTATTTTTTAGTGTACCTGACTAAAAATAACTCTAGGTGCATAAAATATTTACCAAATTTTTATATTAGAATTATCTATACATGACATTAGATGTTTACTCTTTTTGAGCTATTTAAAAGCATACAAATTATTGGATTTTTATTAGTTTTTAAAAATAAAAATATTTTTGCGTTTAAAACACTTAAAAATGTAAAACAAGGTTAATCAATAGTTGTTTTTAATGTAATAATAAAAAAAAAAATGTTAGTGTGAATTTCCAATAATTCATTAAGATCATCTGAAAGTAACATCATACATTAATACATTATATTCAGAAAAAAATCATACAAAATACTATAATTTTGCAAATTAACTTGCAAAAATCCTCATTGTTTAAACCTCAAAAAAAAAAAATTACCTAGAAATCAAATTAATTTTTTATGACCGTTAGAAATTTAAATTATTTTTACATTAGATGTTCATAGTATTTCTCATAGAATGATCTCTTATTTAGTTGTGATACCTACAAATTCTTAAAATGTTATCAAATATTTATATTAGTTTTTGCCTTTTACAATACATTGTGCAGGTATAATTTTAAAAATATTTTGTCTCTTAAGGTTATTACGGACTTAAGAATTATTTTTTGTTATTTTCTTATAAATACGCAGAAAAAATGTTTGCCAAGTAAAAGCTTGACAACTTAGTATAATGTTCTGAATAAGTTGTTATTGTAGCAATTTAAGATATTAAATAAATAACACATAAATTATTTTTTATAAGCATTTTATATGCCTGAAAAATTTATCAAAACATCTTAAATTCGTTGATTATTTTGTAGTTAAAAAATTATTAAAAGTTTTTTTACGACTAAGGATTGAACTTTAAAACAAGTTTTCTTATAAGTTGTAAAATATCTAAAAATTGTACGAACACAATTATTTTATGAACATTTTTATTTCAAATCAAATTAGGACAAAACTCGATATTTAAACAAATATACGTAATAACAATTTTAGTTACTATGTTATTATACAAAAATTTTATTTGTGGGAACTTAGAAACTTTTTCAGTATGTTATTATATTTTATAGACACAACAATGACATTTTAAAATGCAATGTTTTCGAGACAATAATATTACTATTACTATTTAATCATAAAATAAATTACTTAAATATAAATGTATCATAAAATATACTTAGTGCTGTGTCCTCAAGAGTATGGTTCTTGTTTTTGCTTTTAAGAATAATTTAGATTGTCCCATTTGTGTTGGGAATAGTTGAGTTTATATCTGTTTTTTTTATTTTGCCCCGTCACTATATAAGCTGACAGACGCTGTCCGAAACCGATTTATCATTGTATTCAATTTTAATACATACATTACACTCATTATACTGTGCCTTACACCCCAATGACGAGATACACTCAACACACACTGTACTTTACCCTTTTTTTAAATTATTTACAATTTTGTTACCTAATAATTGTTTTTTAAAAATATTATTTGAGTTAGGTAATACTTTTATGTTTTAACTCTTTTTAAAATTAAAATATGAAAAATACTGAAATATGAATACCGAAATTCGATAGTATGTTAATTTGCCATAATATTGACCCGGCCCCAGCGCCTCATCACTCTCTCTCTCTCTCAATCGTACACACTGCCACTCTGGCTTAAAGGGAGAATATCGAGATTTAATGAATAATTTTTGGTGGCCCAGTGTTACGCGTCTGGCGCGTGGGTCGCGGGTTCAAATTTCGTGCCGTGCAATTTTTTTCATTAATTTCTCTATATCTCTCCCAAGACCGGCCACATCACCTGTGGTCGCGTCAATATTAATTGTAATAAACCGTAAGAACATTATTAGTACATAGATTCTCCATGTTATGTTGTTTAAAACGGTAAACACACATTCGGGCGATTCGTTTGCATAATAACACAGTTTTTTAAAATGTATTTAATTTTTTTCAGCTGTTATCTAAAGGTAATCAACAAAAAAACAATGAACATAATAATAACAAAGAACATTTTATTGGTATTTTGAAAACGCTTAGTGGTGAACTGTCTAAATCTGTAAGTATTTTTCTATTATACATAATGTATTGATATAAATATTTATTTACAAATAATTTTCATGATGTACATAGATAACAAACTTTATGTTTTTAAATTAATTAAAAATAAAAATGTTTATTAAAGTGAATGCATTTTATATTTTAAAGGAGCTTGCACATATGCGCTCTAACATTTTTTGCGCTAAATCGATATTCAAATAATATTATATTTTAATTGGCTGATGTAAAAGTGGTTTTAATGACCAATTAAATAACACTCAGTTATTATAAATAGTAGTGTATTCAAGCCCCCCCATATTAAATGTTGGGCCCCTGTACTAAATGTTTTTACGGACCTCATAAATTATTAATAACATAAAATAAGTATTCCTATCAAAATTTCAAAAATTACAAATTCATTTCATCGAGCCCTTTAAGTACTTGGTTCCCTTATTTCAGGTTAAACAGCCCTCCCCCTTTTGGGGGCTTGTGTGTATTATTAAAAAATATTATAAAAATGTGATATACTGATTATTAAAAAATATTTTATTATCAGTTATCAATAACTATTGTTTTGTTATTTATCATTTATAAATGTAACATTTTATATTATAATAAAAAATTAGATGAAGAAAACAAAAAGAAAAAGAAAAACTTAAAGTATTTGTGCCATATCTCTTAAAAAGATGTTTAATGTGTTCCTTTTATTGATTCAATTTCACCAAATTTCAATAAGGTTCCTCCCTGTAATGGCTGAAAATTAAATTTAATACATTTATAAAATTATATTATTATATAATATTATACTTGAGAAGTATATCAGGAGTTGTAGCTTGTAGGTACCACACATATTTTTTACAATTTTTAGCCACAAATATTCTATCCTTTGAGTATGTGCATTAGGTCAATATCATCATTGATATCGAGTGGTAGAACACATACAACGAGTGTCACATAACCCTCTAATAGATCACATCTTGCAGTAAAAAGCATACAACAAGAACCATTTTATTCACCCCTTTGATAAGCTGATAGCTTGTGGTGTAAAGTCTTATAAGAGTTTCCATAGCACAAAATACAAAACAAATTCAAATAAAAGTGTAAACAAAAAATTTCATAACAGTTTGCATTTTTTTGCAACTTTTTTAGTTTTTAAAAAATATTTATTTACTCTTATACATTTGAAACATTTTATGACTTTGAAGTATACTTATTTCTAAAACTTCATTACTATAAAAATAAGACTTTTAATAAATATGGGATATAAAATCAAATTGTGATAATATATTATAAATTATTAGTATAGTCTGTACTTTACAAAGAATTGCTTAAGATGTCAATAATAACATTGACATTGTCGTTGCAACCTGCCGACCTATAAATTCCAATTTGACATATTGTTTATCATAGGATTTAAAATTAATTTCTAACGAAAAACAGTTTTATAATATAGCAGTATTATTACAACTTATTTTAATATTTTATAAGGATATTTGTTATGTCATTTTTATTCTGTTCTCACTAAATTAATTATTTGAATCCCTGTGAGTATAACTTGCTTAAATCAATTACCTAAATCAAAGTTACTATTAAATAAATTTTATTTGCAAATTCATAAATAAGTAATTTAGCATTTTTGATATTTACATAGAAAACCAGATACCTAGTGTATTTTAAAATTTATGTGTTTTACTGCTTAGATTTTAAAACTATACAGACAATTTCAATTTTAATATAATTAATTATATCAACAACCATAATTAATTAGATTAAAGTACAATAATAATAACTTAAAATGCTTATATGCTTATAATTTGTTAATATCAGCATCTGATTGATTTGATTCAAAATGTCATGGATCCATCTTTCTTCTTTACTGGTATTTCTGTATTATTGATTTTTGTTCAACTGACCAATCTTGTACATTTATGTTAGCGGTAATTTACATATTTTTGACCCTGTGATAAAAATCTTTTTCTTTTCTAGTGGGTTTTAGTCCACAATTAGGATTCCTGAACTATTTCTCGGGATATTGATTCTATAGGCAGAATTATTATTTATATCTGATATCTGAATTTACTTTTGAAGCAACTATTACAACTATGTCAAAGCAATTAGCATTCCATCTTTTTGGTTATCCTTGTAATTTATACACCATGTCCGAGATTATGTTGATCTAAATCATCAATATTCATTTTTTTTTATCCATTTCATTGTTTTTTTTAATACCATGCTTTTCGATTTTTGATTTCATTGAACACAGAATCAATTTTCTTATTGACGCAGCTTCAATAGTTTGGTTTGAAAAGTTTAAGAATTGTATCATCATATCATATTTCAAACAAATAATGATCAACATTAAACTAATATAATATTATGAATTATGATGATTTAGTTACTAAAATATACATAACATCTGCTACTTTAATTTTAGATAAGCTAAATAAACATCGATAAACATAAACGATAAACAACTTAAGTCAATAGTAATTAGTAATATAATTAGCTCCAATTTATTTTGTTAATAGATGTATGAAGTCCCCCAACCCAAAAAACTATCAGTTTTGGAACAAATTCGTATTCCGATATCGAGAATGAAAGGTAGAGAAGAAAATTTGCCTTCAAAGCATAAACAATATCATCGTAAACCCTCTACAGTGCCAATCAACGATGGCGAGGACTTTGTGCCCAAAAAAATTAAACTGAGTCAATTCACATCGTCTTCGGGTTCAACGTCGAATAATGAAAGCAGTGTTTACAAGAGTATGTCGAATAATAATAGTAATAGCAATAGTGGTGATAAACAAAATCCCAAATCAGACCAAAACTTGCCTAAAATTGTCGAAAACAAAAGAATTGTTAGTAATTTAAATAATTACAATAGCAGTAGCGATGAGAGTTCTAGCGATGAGATTTCTGAAGATGAGAGTTCTAGCGATGAGAGTTCTGAAGATGATGAAGTTGCAGAATTGGAAAGAGAGATAGCGGAATTAGATAGACTTCCACCTCGACAAAAATGTATCAACGTTAATGATGTAACGTCAAATTGTAAATTTTTCATTGAAAATTTTGAAAAATGTCAATCAACGGCTAATGTAGATACTAACCATATGCCACACGATTTAAGTTTATTGAACTATATTCAAAACTTGAAAAACAAAATAAAATCTGTATGCGAACCGAAGCGGTCGTTGTTTTATAAAAAATTAGTTAAATCTTCAAATAATTTTGAAGTTTTTAAACTTAAAAAATATTCCGACATAATGGAGGATAATGGTATGATAAATTTATTCAATGCTTTAAAATCATTCGAGAACAAACATAATTATAAATTAAAATTTGTAAAATCTAAATTGGGGGATGCTTTAAAACGATATAGCGCCAATCGTGACATATGTTGGGACGTGGTGCATTTAGAGTCCAACTCCAACAAAGACCTGTTGAAATATAAATTGTGCTATGGTGCCATTCCAATCACATATGTTGTAGAGCTAGAAACTCTAGTTTGCCGAATTTTACTCGGCAAATTAAATAATGATGGCAAAAAATCGAACGATGAAAAATATCAATTGCAGAATAAGGATTATGATTTGCTTGAAGGTGAACTAGAGCTGCTTATTTTCAATTATTGGCAAATTTCCACTCGTGATATGTTAGGATACAAGGAGCATTTAAGTCGCAAAAAAGAAAAAATGGTGTTTTATTATATGTTCAAAAAATTGGAATCAAATATTATTCGCTTTGATTTTGGTTTAAATAAAGAGCAAGAACAAATGTTCATGGACATTTTAAAACTGTACAAATTGTATGCGGCATTTGAAAAACCAACCATATTGACTGCCGCAGGTTTGGCATTTGTCAAAAATTCAGCATGTCATTTAACTTCATTTTTAGGAAAAGAGTATGACTTATGGTCAGTATTTTTTCATAAGTTCAATTTGCACAGCACAGCTTTTGAATTTACTATAAAAACTTTGTTAAAGGATCGAGATAACATTTTTCAATATCTATTGACGAGGGTATTGGAAATTGATCAATTCAATAAGTCTGGATCTGCTAAAAGCTTGTGGTATCATGGTATAACACAGAAGATGACCCCTGAAAAATTAGAGGATACCATAATATCCAAAATTGATGTCGTATGCTGTCTAAGTTATTATTTCCCAAAAACAAAAAATGTACCTCGAGCTATGTGTGTTAAATTGGACAATTATTATGTTCTTTACATTGACCTATTTGTTTCATTTATTATCAACAACAGCTTGTATAAATATCATAGAAAATTAACAGTTGAAAATTGTAACCATTTTTTCATATTAAACGACCGAAGACACCATGAGTATTATTCAGAAAATTTCATTCCAGCATTTGAAACGAAACGAATGGTAAGTTCGATGAAAATCATGCTGAACAAACAACTCAACGCCCGCCTGGACGGTGGCCTTAAATGGAACATGCAGTTAGACACGGAAGTCCTTGTCCTTTTTTTTTTTTTAGTCCATAAACACCTCAACTATGCGTTGACGCCCGCGATGCTGCGTGAAGGCCCTGTTCTGACAGATGTGGAGTGGGCTAGTATTTTTATAAGGGACTTAGATAAAATGGAAATGTTTTATCTAAACAAAACCCGATGGATTGACAAACCGTGCATGTTGGGCGGTGCCCCAGATGATTTAGATTATGATCCAGAAACCGAAGATTTGGACCCATTAGAAAATGTGTGCAGTTCTGAATTTACTTACCGTCGTGGAACTGAGAACGATGATGGTTATGCATACAGTGTGAAATTTGGACCATCGTCAGACGAAGAAACTGATTTTAATTCAGACGAAAGCGAGGAAGAAGGATTGGATGAATTAATTAATAAGATATTAATTGAAAAAAAGAATGAACGTCTAATGGCAGAATGCCGATATCTGATTAAAGGGCAAGAACATAAACTATTTAAACGAAAATTACCCCAAAAAATACAAGACCGTGTAAATAAAGTTGGTTATTTTAATAAAGTAACACAGAAAAAACAAAAAAAAACTGCCACGGAGGGAGAAAAAGTTGAAGAAGTCCAACCGAAAAAATCAGAAAAATCAGTACTTTGTGTAAATAAAAGAACATTTACAAAAAAGTTACAAAATATTTATTAAAATTTTAGAAATGTTAACTATTTGATATTTAGTTTATTACTGGGAAAGATTTTCCAAATTTTGTTTAATTGTAATATGTAAAGATATACATGTTAAGATTCTGAACAATGATAAATCTGATTACCTTGTCATAACTCAATACTTGTTAATTTATTGATTTTTCTACTTAATTATACACTATTTTTATTCCAGTTTATAACTGTTGTTTAATGCTTTAGTCTAACCTTAAAACTGTTTAAATATATCGTTTCTCATAAACATATTTCTTATCTCATTATTACCAACTCATCTCCTTCCATTTTTTTTTTAAAACAATATTAATTTAAACTTTATATAACATACAGTGTGTATAAATGTAAATGTCATAGCCTTTTTATTATACTTTAATTTCAGAATTATTAGTATTTTAAAATTGTAAATTGTTTATATCTACATCTTAACATATTCACAACTCGCTTTAAAATTAAAATATAATAAAAAGCCAATGATATTGATTACTGAGATAATAATCTTTCCTTAAAATGTTATTAGAGGTGAATTCACTCTTATTTTTAAACTAACAGAGCTAAACAGCAAACAAGATCTGCTGAGTGTAAAATTTGTTATGTTGCTCATTTGTACTTTATTGACAACATGTCATGCAGGTATAATATCTTCTTAGGACTTCTTTCGCGTTCAATATAGCACATTTTCATTTACCAGATTTGATCGTGCGCTGTTTATTTTGATATAAGAGTGAATTGACCTATTATAAATTGTAATGGTAAGACTATTATCTTTAGGGCATGACATAGCCTTTTATTGATATTATAGAAGACATCATTTTAGAGTTAAACTCAAATAAAAGTGTACTTAATGTCATCTCACTCGCATCGTCATACTACAACATTAGTTACTATGTATAGCTACTACATTTACTATCATGACAACAAGTACCAAAACAGCAATATTTATATAATTTTTGTGTCTGAAATTTTACTTATAGGCACTGTACCATGTTATAAGCCATTTCCAGTTGTCTGCAGTTTGGACGACTCAGAGAATGCGTAGGACATAATACATATCTGTCCATATTGTGTATACATACAATTCAAGTCCATAATATTTTATTTCTATTTTTTTTTTTCCAAGGCCGTAATTGTATAATGTATTAGAATCCAAGATGTATTTAGCCTACAACAGTTTACAATCATTTTAAGTTTTTATTCAATTGTGAACATTTTAAAAATAAAATATCTTAGGTACCTACAGGTGCCTAATAAGTATGGTAGTATGGTATCATTGGTCCGTTGTCCTATATGCTCGCCGTGAGCTCATCTATCTCGATGAAGTCTATTAGAGGTATATTCTTGTTTTTTGTTTGGGTATAATAATTAATAATAATATTTATTTTAAAATTAAATTTTGTTCGCTCATCTAGGTAAGTACATTTTGTAGTCATTTTTAAAGTTCATTTTTAGAGTTTTTAGTTTATTTTTGAATTTTTTTTTTTAGTGTGTTTGTGTATTTTTTAGGTCATTAAAATCCTAGCTCTAATCATCAATTATAGTTGTGTTATATTTATTATATTATAATTTATAAATTAACGTAACTCGGATTTGATTAACAGTAACTCGTGATTTACTAATTTTGAATTAATAAAAATGAGCCAAGTTAAAAATTTAGTTAATGAGAATTAAATGAACTTCAACACTTTTCAACTAGTTGAGTTAACTTGCTGTTAAGTACAGTATATGCCAGTGGTTCTAAACTAACCTGTTGCCGAAATAGTTATTTGTTTTTATTGTTCGTGTTCAAAGTTTAAATAAATGACATATTATGGACGTGATAGTGAAAACCACTGTTAATAAACACAATAATTGGAAAGATAGTTTCATTCTCAATGTGCATACCTACCTATAGGTTTATTATGATTAATGTTTCGAAAATCCATTGATCGTTTCATGAGTGCCGCCGTTTTTATGGATCTCACTTGGGAAAAAAAAGGTTAAAATGCAGTGCTATACACCGACACAATAATGCGGCATTTAACGTAATGATATAGAATCTTTATTTACAGGCATCCCATTTTGTATAAATATATTTATGTATAATAATTATGTATATTGTATAAAATCATATCAGTACAAATAACGAAGATACGAAGTGGTTAGCCATAAGTTAAATATACCTTATACCACACTGAACGTTGCTTAATAATTGGTTAGACGACGAATGCTATTTCGAAGTAGGTAGGTATATAATATTATAATATTAGATAATTATGTTTCAGGTAAATCAGTATTAAATCTTACGGAACGTTTCGTTGAACACTAACTTATTACAATGTTGAATGATAATAAAAATAAAAATAATAATAATAATAATAATAATATAATATATAAATAAATAAAATGATTAATATTCTGACTAACGAACATTATAATATGTATGTAATATATATATAGTTACCATGAGTACCTAGTATATTAAATAAATAATATAAGATTCGAAATTCAAATATACGTAAATAATTATTAACTAAGACGAATGAAAGTGTTCTTTTCTCTTGTAGTAGGTAGTTTGGTAATAAATGACAGTGTAAGTCGGAAGCGAGAAATAATAAATAATTACAGCATAAATCTGGTAAATCGTATTCTTTATCCCGACGGACGGACACCTGTTGTACGTTTCTTCTTATTTTTTTTTGATTATGATAATGATATGAGTCCACCTGTTCGCCCTAGATCGATGTTTTCTAGCTTCGAACCATTGGATTTTTTATTTATTTTTTTTTGTTTTTATTATTTTTTAATTTTTTATGTTTTGTTTGTTTCGTTAGATTTAGGTTTCGATTTTGAACGGTGAGCCGGGTATGTGATCATCGCCCCACTTGACCAGTAGAATGTATTCGCCACGTTCACGGACGATATAGCTCACTTGGTAGTTGTTCTGTTTCATGTGTTTGATAAATATCTCCTCACACGGTCCCTTGGGTCCGTAAATACCAACGAATAATATATTGTTTCCTGTAAACATAAGCATATCACGTTTTAGTGGATTTACAAATTTGCCTACAATTATAATATTAGTAAATGAGAAAAATCATTTCAAATCATAACTAATGGACCAGCATTCGATTACAAAAAAGATTATCAAAGATCGTCATTAACTAGTTCGATAATCTGGTCATTCCCTATAATTATTATAACATGTATACTATCCTCTATGAAGTCCCTTTAGAATTTGTTGAAATTTATTTTCTTGAAATATTTCATGAAACTCTTATGAAATATTTAAATTGTGTAAAAAATAAAAGAAAACTGTTTGTTATGAATACTCACAGTCATAAATAGCAAATAAACAATTGTCAATTGGTATGTGATGTATTGAACAATATTATTATACCATTAATACTTAATTTACAACCATTAACATAGTGATTCGAAGACCTCAGTCGTTCATTATCGATATTTTTTGATAATAATCAATAGTCGACTATAACCGTTGACGTTTAAAATAAAAAATAAGACTTAATGAAATATTTCGAGAAAAGTGAAATGTTCAACCTTATTAATTTCAATCGAAAAATGTCAAGTGAAATATTTCAAATTCAGCGCCCCCCTACTATAGCTATGATGATGACTTACCGGCGTCGGAAGCGCTAATGCTGAATAGATTTTGTTTTCCCACGTACGCTTTCTTCAAGCCCATTCCTTTGCTGGTGACGAGTGTAGCGTTCGACTTAAAGTGCGGTAGAACGACACCGGCCCCGCCCTTGTGGGCTTTAGACACTTTGTGTACGGTTTCCACAACCACCGAGCTTGTTTCTTGTGGTCCACGCTCGGCCAAATCCTCGCCTGAAAAACAACCAAACACCATTGTAATTGTTTTGATAACGATTGGCGTTGGCATTATATTGCACTGATTGTCTAATCGTCGGAAACGAAAAATGTTCAGATGGTATTCGACAAGAACAGTGAAGTGTGTCAATCAATTTGTTGTAACTACAACATTTATCTCTGAATTGGGTGGTTGGCCACTGACGTGTGTCTCGGTCAACATCTTTCAGAGGCGCCGGCTCCTGGATGGGTGACCCCCCGTGGGTTGTTAGCGACAAATCCTTGTCCAATAGCCGTTCCAACAGTAACTCGCGCGTACACAACTATTGCTTATACGTGACAAAACCATTTATAGTTGTTATAACTTGTTACAAGTGCGTATAACAGAATTACATTTAAAACTTCAAGGAAGAGTCGCTATAATTGGGACAATTAATTTGAGATAGCAGGTAGGTACCTACCAATAAAGTTGTATATATGTAATTCAATAACAAGCGCTGTAAAACGAAATCAAATAATATTGCAATGGTTAATGACACCATTCGTTTAATAATAAATCACTCTGTAAGAATGAAATTCTGTAAGTACTATCTGTGGAAAACGTTTAATGTCACTGGTGTAAGTATTGTGAATACTAAATTATATATTGGTAAATGCAACAGTAAGCATCTTGTCAATGAGAATAATGCTCTCGAAAAAGCGACAATGAGCCTATCTAATATCGCAACTTCGATGGAAACTATGTTGTCATTATAATAATATACTGTTTACAAAATGAAACGTATTAGTATGTGTACCTAACTTCATGGGCGGATAGGCCATTTTTGGCCTACCAGGCAATTTTAAAAAGGGGCCCCACATAAAAAAAAGTTGCTCGCAAGTACAGTATTAGATTAATTATGTTACCTACAATATCAAAACAAAACATTGGACGTGTATGATTTGTCTGTTATATTTGGCAATATTAACATCTAGAAAATCTATAAAATATATTATAACAACATCTATATTCCATTATCAATTGACAATTAAGTACATCTAATTATAAAAGTTGAGTGTTTAATTTAGGCTTTTACACTTTAAATAATGTTGAAAATTATAAATGTAATAGACACATTAAGAAACACAATTTGTATTTCAAAAATATTAGAAAATTTATTTGACAACCCCTACTTATTTTATACTGCTGATTGCTATTAAGTGTAAAAATTATACTAAGATACCTATAAAATATAGTTTCTTTTAGTTAATATTCTACATGAATACATGATTATATTACAATTATCGTAATAATTAATAAGCACCTATATTATATACTTAGTGATGGGCCGCAACTAATATAAACTAACGAATAATTATTCGATACCTAGTTTTT